CCGCCGATCCCCCCCACCCCCCCCCCCACACCCCGCAGGCCCTCTTCAAGAGCTCGTGCGCGCTGAGCAACGACGACCCCCGCGCGCGCCTGGTCACAGTGGGCGCAGTCAATGAGAAGCTGGACAGGCTCATGTCGCTCTCGGGGCCGGGGTCGGCAAAGGAGAAGGCCATGGTGGGGCCGGAGTGCTTCGGGTAGTGGGTGGGGAGGGTGGGGGCGAGGGTGTGTGTGTTTGTGTGCATGTGGTTCATGTGTTTTGAGGCCTTCTCGTCGGGAATGGGGCGACTCGTCAGGGCACTTGTGAATGAAGCGAGGGTGCGGGATGGGGCAGGAGCTTTCAGAGGATATACAGGGGCGTGCGGGGCATCGCAAAGGAAGGCAGGAATTGGGGGCCTGTGCAGCCCTCGACGCCGCCTTCCCGCTCCCCCCCCCTTCCGCACGTGCGCCGTCGCAGCTGATGCGCTGGGCGATCTCCAACATGTCCCCGCGGCAGTGCAAGTGGCTGGTCAAGATCATCCTGCGGGACCTCAAGGTTTGGGTTTCTGGGGCCTCCCCAGCGGGCGGGCAGGAGCATCCCTCGTCAACACACACCGCCTCGCTGCTCGCCCGGCACGCACGGCCGACAGGCATCGCGGCGCCGCGTGCAACGCATTCAGAGCCGGCTGCGCGGCAAACGCGGCCCGCAGGCGGCTCCTCATCAAGCCGTCCCGGGGTCTGAGCTCACCGGGTGGTTCAGCCCCTAAAGCCGCCCCCCTGCCTTCCAGGTGGGGCTGTCTGTGGAGCGTGTGCTGAGGGACTACCACCCAGACGCCAACAAGAGCTTCAACATGTGAGGGGGCCAGGAGGGCAGCAGGCGACAGGGCGCCGAGGCCGAGGCCGGGACAGCGGTAGCTGGTGGCTGGTGGTGGTCATGGGGGGCCGATGGACAGCGTGGGTCGCTGGGCGGGCTCCGGGGGGGGGGGGGGGCGCTCGCATCGCTGTCGGGGTCAGCGCTTGTCGCGGGGCAAGAAGGGTGCCTGTCAGCAAGCCAGGGGGAGGCCCCCTCCCCTGAAAACCATTGTGGGAACCCTTGTGATTCTTGACCTCCTGTGCCTGGGGACCCACGCACGGCAAAGGCGGCCTGCATTTCAGCGGCACAGGTCTGCTCCGCCCGGGTCCATCTGATGCCCTGTGTTGTGTTGCGTCACAACCCTCTGGACCCCGCAGCAACCAGGACCTGGAGAAGGTGGTGAACGACCTGGCAGACCCCAGCACGCGCCTCATCAAGGACGTGAGCGCAGCAGCAGCAGTGACGGAAAAACTGCGGGGACGGGGGGCGCAAGGGAAGCTACCTGCAGCATGGGGTGCAGAACGGGGACAGGGGCGACACGGAGCCGACCCTCCCTCAGCTTGTTGGGGCCCGACGTTGTGCCAGATCGGGCCTTGGTGGTCGCTTGATCCATGGCCGCCTCTTGACCCGGCACCTCGCACACCCGTTGCCCCTGCGGCGTCCCCGGCAGGTGGCGCACCCCGGTGACACCATCCGCCACCAGCTGTGCGACCGCAAGGACAGCGTCGACGCGGTGTTCGCGGCGGTGCGCCCGCCGGGGCCGCCGCTGCGGCCAAGCCGCGACGTTCCCACTGTTTTTGGCCCCCACGCTCACCTGTGGGGTCCCTGAACCCTGAACTCGATCCTCTCAGCGTTCCGTCCACCTTCTTTGGGCTGCTTGGGCCGGCGGGGTTCTCCATGCTGCCCAACACTGATTGCAAGCCGTTGGGCGCCGCCATTATACTTGGATGCCACCCCCGCCGCTGCTCGTGCCAGGTGTCAGGGGGCAGGGCGGTGTCGCCACCGTTTGTGGTGGAGATCAAGGTTGACGGGGAGCGCATCGCGGTGAGCAGCGGCGCAAGGGCTTTGGCGCGTACAGGGACGCCTGGTCACGCTTGTTTTTGCCTGCCATGACTGCCAATAATGCTGCCTGGGCCAGCAGCATGCACAACCCACAGCAACTGCTCACACATTACTCTAATGCCGTATCATTCACTTCTTGCACGTCTTGCAAGGTTTGTTGGTGTGCTTTGCAAAATGATTTGCCGTTGCCTGCCGAGACGTCCGCTTGCATTGACTTGCACTGACTTGCCTTGACTTGTGTTGACCGCACACCCAGGTCCACATGAAGGGGGGCAAGCTCATCGCAATGACCAGCCGCCAGGGCTTTGACCACCACAGCAAGAGCAACTATGACGTCATCACGCCCGTCATGGAGGCACAGGCGAGTTGGGGGT